AGGTACAATGTAATATGGATTTTTTTGTTGAAAAATCCAATATGGCAACAAGTCTAACGAATTCTACAGTGTGTATTCATGCTATCATCCAAGATGGTGCCAAAACCACATGACAAATCATAAAATGATCTGCAAACTTTAATGGATTTGGTATACATATAGGTCAAATTTTAGATCAATGTCATTAATGGTTCTGAACAAGAAGCATTTTGTCATTTTTTGATAAATTAATTATGATGCAAAAAGTCTGCAATGCCCTGAAGTTTTTTTTATTGGTGATATATTTCAATGATTCTACAACAAAAATTTTAAATCACCGAATCCCCCAGTAGTACGAGATACTTGAGGGTTTTCTTAAATCCAAATGATCTCCAAAGCCACAAGACCAATCTTTATAATTTTATCGAATTAACAATCGCAGTTTAACAGGTTGAGAGGTTTAATCTGAATTGAAGAATATATGTATTCTTTTCATTCTTTATTATTAAAAATGTGCATTTTTGCACTGCTTTCTGTAGTGAAATTCTTTCTTCATATTTTGAAATTTTGCACAATGACATGGAATGAAAAAGTCATACATTGTATTTGCTCTATAGAAACACTTCTCCTAATAGAAGAACATAAAAAAAATGTGGTGTCTACTCAAAATAAAACAAACTTATGGTCACAAAAAGCTGCATGCACTACTAATAGAGCAAATACAGTATCATTATATCATTCCTAAAACATTTAATTAAATTGACATTTAACTTATAGAAAGTTTAATGCAATGATTAGTTTTCTATTATATACAATGAGACGTTCTCTCCCATAATGCATTGCTCATATATGCAATTCAAAATTGGAATTGGAGCTTAATGTCTTTAAAGACACAGTACAACATACTTGTTTTTATCTGGTAAATCATAGGGTTCCAAATCAACACTAGCGGTACATAGCCCCACGTCTTCACTGCACTTTCTCATTTCAGCATCATAGTCTTCAGCTACATAACACACCTGAAAAAATATACAAACAAATTAATTTGGGAAACCACCCCTCACCCGCCTCCCCTCGGGACATCATGATGCATGTGACCAGCTATGCAAGCCACTGAACTACTAGAAAGAGTACCAGCAATTTAAAAAGTACATCTAAACCATAGGTGAGTGATCACAAAATAATATGATTGTATACTAGTAAAATCAGTTATGAGCTTCAAATTTCCTGCATAATCTAGATAATGTGATTTTTAAACAGAACATAAAATGAATAAAATCCATCCCCTAAATGGAGGGTAATCAATAATGCATGCATTCCTCATCCACTGCACGGAAACACACTATATGAAATCAACCAGCATTTTGTGTTGTTTATTTCAGGAACACACTTGCACATTACCATATGGTTATGTAAAATATATTGGTACACATTTAATTATACACATGTCATTGATTTATTATTTACTACATATTTATTTTATTTTGAAGGTTAGATAACCATTACTTAAGGTTTTATTGCATTTATTCACAGTTTCTGCATTTATTTTTCGGGTTTTGAATGTGTTCAATGAAAAAAGACAAAAAGCTGGTATTGAAAAGCGTCACAAATATAGATTAAGGAAAGCAAGTTACCTTCTCTTTCAGAAACCTTGGAATGAATGTTTCAATTTCAGTTGAGTATCTAGAATATATGATATTATTAATTATTATACATCTGTCAAATAATGCCACAAGTTACAGCATGCCATAATTTTGCGATAGTGAGTATTTTCATCCTACAATATTAGATAACGTGAATTCCAAATATGGAACGATTATGTGCATAAGCATCCTCTAATAATAAAAACATAGTTGAACTCTGGTGACCTTGCCTTTGTTATATAATATAATTCCCCTTATCATAGTTTGTTTCAATATAAATATGCAATGTCATAATTAATTTTGAATACAAACAAGTTTTGGGGTTGAACCAACAGTGGGGAATCAGTCTACCGAATGTCCTTAAAGGATGTAAATATCTTACAAAAACATTGGTGCCTTATTTGTTTAATTATTTTAAGGGACATAATTTCCAGCTTTATTCAAAGTAATTCAAATATTTTAGTATAAAAACAAATGCCTCATCGCAAAAAAGAAGTGCTGCATTTAGACGTGAATAGATTCATAAAACATGCAAGATAACAGAAAATCTTAGCTGGCTTTTGTCCAAGTATTTTGTACAGGTGTCTGTCAAAAATTAATGATTCACTGAGACAAATATGAACTGCCTCATTGTGTAACTACTGTATTATATGAAAAGTAAAGAAAAAACACCCTTTATGAATAGCTATCATGTTGCAAGCTCTGCTTTGTATGCAAGTCAACTTAAATAGTTAGTTGGTGTCCAGTGGAGGGAGAGTACTGTTGCCTCCTGAGAATCTACATCTTCAAACACTGCAATCTTTGAAGTGCG